AACCACAGAGAGGTGTCGGGGGTGCTGCCCCCCCCCCAGCCCCAGCTTTGCAGCTCGGGACCCTCCCAGCACCATCCCTGAGGGTTTCAGAGGGATGAGAGGCGTTTCAATGGATAAATCCCTGTGCTGGGCAGGGATGCAGCAGGAGCAGCTCCGGGGGTCTCTCCTTCTGGAGGCTTATGGAATATATCCATGGAATATTTCAGCAAGGGTTTGGCAAAGCTGGTGCTCCTCGTTGAGGGGTGGGAGGGGAGATAAAGCTGAAAAAAAAGCTCCTTCCTCCCCCCTTTTTAAAGCACTGTCAGGAGGAATTTCAATTATTTAAAGCTCACAGGTACGTGCTCCTTGCAGCCTCCGAAATGAAACAATGCCCAGCCCTCCTCAGCCCCAAACCAGGAAGGTTCCGGGCCCCTGCCTGCAGCTGAATACAAGACAGGCCAATTAATTAAATCAGTAAATAAGTTCTCCTAATCCCATTAACAAGAGACGAGCTGGAGATTAAATCTTTGATGGCACTTGCTGCAAAATTAATGCAGGCAGTGTGTTCGGAAATGTATTCTTCCCCTCACCTCGGCAAGGGGAACAGTGCAGTTTTATAGGCCGGGGCGTTATCAGGAATGGGAAATGGATGTAAAACCAGCACAGATCTCATTAAAAGGATGTAATGAGCTGCTGCCACGCCAGATCCTGCCTGGGCCACCACGGGGAGGGGCCATGGGGGTGCTGCTGAGGGCTTTGGGGTCCCCGTGGGATTTCTCAGCTCTGGGGTGAGGCAGGAGGTGCCTGGGAAAGGGGATTTTTCACCCAGGGTGAGAGGGAGCAGGGAGGGATGCTGGAAGCTCCCCGGCATCCCTGGCAGGTTGGGAGCAGAGGAGTGACAGGTTGGGGGGGGTGGTGAAAAACATCCTGGAACCCTCCCAAGGTGCTGCTTCTCCTCAGCTTCTCCAGAGGAGAAAATCCCTTCCCCAGCCCTCGGAGCAGAGGGACGAGGGGGGAAAATGCCATTCGTCTTTTCTCATGGTTTGTTTTTTTGTTTTTAACCTAGCTTTTTTTAACTTTCACTGGGGGATGAATCAAGGCTGTCTCCTCCAGCCTGTGCCTGCTTTGGTGTTTTCTCAGGGTGGGCTGGAGGGGTTGGAGGTGTTGGTGAAACGGGGGGGATCCAGCTGCGAATCCCAGGGATGGTTTTCTCCCGCTCCAGCCTAAATCTTGCCTTGGCTTTTTCTCCCCTGGAAAAAAGGAGATTCAAACTGTGTAATCCCCGAAATTCTGGGACAACCTCGCTGGATTCGGCTCCTGCTGCTCCCATCACTCCTCCATTCTCCTGCTCTGTTCTCCTCCCCGTTTTTTCCCAGGAGTCGTTCCCAGCGTGGAGCTGCTCTGGGAGGCTGGAGATGGATTTGGGGTTCTGGTTTATGGATCCTTTCCCATCTTTCTCGTGTTTCCAAGAAGGAAATCCCTCTAAAGCCCTTGGTGGGTGGGATGGGCAGGACACGCCGAGGAGGAGTTAAAGTCCTTGTCACATTCCAGGGAGATCCTGGAGGCAGATCCATCGGGATCTGTGGGAGAAGCAGCTCAGCGATTTACAGGAGTGAAAACAAAGTAAAATAAATGTCAATTAATTGAAATAAATATGTAACAACATCTAAAGTGTTTAGATCTAAAGTATCTAATAACATCTAAAATGTCTAATCATTAATCAGAATGAAATTAGGCAACAGGACTGAGAGTTGTGAGCAAGGTCTCCTCAATCTAAAGTTCCAAATTCTCTCCTGGAAATGAAATACAGCTACATGTTGAGAAAAAAAAGAAAAGAACATTGAGCAAGGATCTTCCTTGGAGAAGTGAGAGAAAGGTGTCACGGCGGGCTACCTTTAATGATTTCCTTCTTAAAACAGTAAGGCAGCAAATAGGAGACCTGAGGTCAATGCTTCATTGAGCCTGACGGGATTCGAATTTGTATTTTCTGCCTCCTCAAGACCCACCTTACACTCTTGGCTAAATGGGGGAAAATTTCTGGGTATTCTGGGCCAGAGTGCAGAGGAGAGGGTGATAATCAGCTGTGGGTCTCAGATTCAGTCAAAGAAAGGAACTGAGAGTTTCTAACCAGGCAAAACCTGGGAAAGAGCTGCAGAAGAATGTAAATAATTCTTTATCTCTCTTGTTTTTCACATTGTTTATAGCTAAATTCTATCACTGTGCATCAAGCACTGTACACCAATGGTGTGACTTGTTTTCAGAACCAATGGATTTGATCCTTGTGAAGCTGTGTATAAAAGCGCAGTGTATTTTGAATAAATAGTATTTTAGTGTTACAGCCTTCTGGGTCAGAGTCTCTCTTCATTCCCGCCCTGCCTCGACAGCGACAATCATTCCTTTAAGTCTTGCTGGTGGTCATGAGTTCTGCTTTGTCCTTCTGTAAAGTCCCTGGGCGCTGAGCTGCCATCAGTCCTTTCCATTTGACTCACTGGAGCTGCTCAGGGAGGGCCTCACCTGCTCCTGATCTATTTTCCCTGCTTTGGAATCAGCAGCAGCAGAGTTATCCAGAGTTTTTGTGGGCCTGAGCTCCGAGAGTTTATCCATTGCCACTGGAACTATTTTCATCTTTCATCATCTTTATATTAATAATGGTATCAATATTACAAATATTATATAAATTAAATTAATAATTTTAATTATTTATTAATAAATCATTAATTAATCTATGAATTAAAATTAATATATACATAAGTAAAAACTAAATATAAAAATGAATATAAAACAGATCTACAAATACAAAATAAATCTATAAATATAAAACAAATATATAAATAAATATATATACATATATAAAAAAACATATACGTGTATCTATAAATATACATATAAGTATAGAAATAAATGTATACATTAATAAATAAATGACTGTATCAATGAATATAAAAATGACTATATAAATAAATATATAGCCCTCCCTGCTTTGATCTGCTGGAGGATCTGCCAGACTGCCAAACTGTACTTCCAATTCCGCAAAAAAAAAATTCCAACTGGCTCTTTTATTTTCGAAGAGGGGCTAAAAAAATAAAAGGAGAGTGGAAGTGGCAGGGATTTAGAGCAGACAAGCGCAGGTGTTGCTTTGTTTCCTTTATGGAAAGCCACTTTTAGATCTGATTTTCCGACTGATGCTGCTTTCTGTGAATCTCCAAGGAAGGTGTCAAGACAGATCCCTTTGAGAGTCCCTGTGCTGCTCTCTCCGAGTATTTTGCATAAGCGAGGCAATTTTTTTGCTAAATAAAAACAGTTGGGGCTGGAAGAGAAGCAAATGTCCATCGAGGATGCAGCTGATGCCGATCAACACTCAGCCTGCAGCGCTGCCGTGCTTCCCTGGCTGGAGGCAGGGAAAAGCTCCGTCCTTCAAGGGTTTCTCTCTTTGGGGATTTCTCTTGCCATGCCCTCAAAAGCAGGGTTTTCATGGGGGGGTTATTTGCAGAAAAAAAAAAAGGGTTACTGGGGAAAAACCTTTTATGGGAAGTGGTGGAATGGAGCTGGAGGAAGGAGGACTTGGCCAGAAGGAGGTCTCGGCGTGGTCCAGGAGGTCCCCGGGGCTGGGAAGGGCTGCCAGGCTGTGGGATCTGCAGGGATCGGGGAGGGGCAGCAGCCCCCACAGCTTTTGGGGGATGCTGCAGGTGGGCAGGGTGTGAGATCCTAAAGTTCATCCCATTCCAACCCTGCCATGGGCAGGGACACCTTTCACCGTCCCAGGGTGCTCCAAGCCCTGTCCAGCCTGGCCTTGGACACTTCCAGGGATCCAGGGGCAGCCACAGCTGCTCTGGGCACCGTGGGCCTCCCAGGGAAGAAATTCCTTCCCAAAATCCCAAAATCCCACCCAGCCCTGCCCTCTGGCAGTGGGAGCCATTCCCTGGGTCCTGTCCCTCCATCCCTTGTCCCCAGTCCCTCTCCAGCTCTCCTGGAGCTCCTTTAGGCTCTGAGCTCTCCCTGGAGCCGTCCTTTCTCCAGGAGAACATTCCCAGTTCTCCCAGCCTGGCTCCATCCTTGGGAGCCTCTTTGTGTCCCTCTGGGCTCCCTCCAGCAGCTCCAGGGGCTCCCTGTGCTGGGAGCAGCTCTGCAGGTGGGGTCTCACCTGAGTGGGGAAGAGAGGGATGGGATGGGATAATTAAAATTAAAAAATAAAATAAAATAAAATAAAAATTTAAAAATAAAATAAAATAAAATAAAATAAAAATTTTAAAATAAAATAAAATAAAAATTTAAAAATAAAATAAAATAAAATAAAATAAAAATTTAAAAATAAAATAAAATAAAAATTTAAAAATAAAATAAAATAAAATAAAATAAAATAAAATAAAATAAAATAAAAATTTAAAAATAAAAATTAAATAAAAATAAAATAAAATAAAGTAAAATAAAAATAAAATAAAATAATAAATAAAATAAAATAAAATAAAATAAAATAAAATAAAATAATAAAATAAAATAAAATAAAATAGGGATGGAAGATGAGGGTAGGAGAGGGTTGGGGAGGAGAACGAATGGAAAAGACACGGAGAGGGGATGGGCTGGAGGAGAGGACGAGCTCAGGGGGTCCCGCTGTCCCCTCCCCAACCAGGGGCAGAGCCAGAGGGTCCGAGCGGCTGCGCCTGGGAGGGGGCGGCTCCTCGGGGCGCGGAGCGGGGCGGCCCCGGCCGTGTCCCCTCCCGTGTCCCCTCCCGTGTCCCCTCCCGTGTCCCCTCCCGTGTCCCCTCCCGTGTCCCCTCCCGTGTCCCCTCCCCGCGCCGTCCGCAGTGCTGCCACCGGAGCCGCGCAGCGCCAGCGCGGCCGTGCGCGGGGAGCGGCCGCGGGACCCGGCACCCCGAACCCGGCACCCCAAACCCGGCACCCCGAACCCGGCACCCCAAACCCGGCCCCCCGAACCCGGCACCCCCAAACCCGGCATCCCGAACCCGGCACCCCGAACCCGGCACCCCAAACCCGGCACCCCAAACCCGGCACCCCGAACCCGGCACCCCGAACCCGGCACCCCGAACCCGGCACCCCGAACTCGGCACCCCGAACCCGGCACCCCGAACCCGGCACCCCAAACTCGGCACCCCGAACCCGGCACCCCGAACCCGGCACCCCGGCCCAGGTAAGGGGGGATCGGGGGTCCCCCGGGCCGTGGCCGCGGGGCAGCAGCGGCGTGGCGGGGGTGGCTCAGGAGGCGTCGCGGGCTCCGCAGGGACAAAGATCGGGATGCGGCTCTGGGGGTCGGGATGCTCGTCCGGGGGTGCTCCTCGGCCCCGCGCCCCGCTCTGGGCCCGGGGAAAGTCGCGGCATCCCGGGGGTGACACCCCCAGCCCGCGGTGGCGCCCGTGGGTGGCCGGGGGAGCGGGTCCCCGGCAGCGCCCGTGGGTGCGGGTGGGGCGAGGCTCTGGGTGCTGCCGTGCGCGGACAACTTCCAGGCGTGTTGGGCATTTGCGGGGCTTGAAGCCCCCAAAATTGTCTCTTTTCCCCGTCGCTGGGGTGTGCTGCGGTGGCACCAAGGCCGAGCCCCTTCCCAGAATCCTGGCAGCCAGGGGATGTGGGGAGCGCCCCGGCGCTGCTGCTGGCACATTTTGGGGTGCTCTGCTCCCTGGTAGGGCTCTGCAAGGGCATCGCTGCCCGGCTCAGGGTGGCCCGAGGGCTCTGGCAGGTGCTGCTCGTTCCCCAGGATGGACCAAAGCGATGCGAACGGCAGCAAAAAACCAAAAACCTTTCTGGAGTAACCCGGAACCTCCGGGAGGCAAAACCGCCTCGGGAATCAGGCTGAGGCTGCTGGAAGCTGTCGCTCCCAGGGATGGGTTCTTCAAAAAAAGGCACCTGATTTTATGTCTCTTGCTGGTGTCTTTCTAGCAATTCTGGTTGCAAGCTGGAGCAGCAATTTGTCTTTGTGTGATGATGAACGCTCCTTCGTTTCCCTGCTCGAAGAGCTCTGAGCAAAGGCAGCTGCCCCGGCCGTGCCCCTGCTCTGGGCTCGGGCCGTGCCACGCTCCTCCCGGGATCCTGGGAGTGTTTGTGGATCAGCCTGATCCCCCTCGCCGTGAGGTTGCAAGGGAAAAAAAAAAAAAAACCCAAACAAAATAAAACCCCAAAACCAGATAAAGCTTCCAGATAAACACGGCCAGTTGGCTCCAGGGATGCAGAGATGAGAACAGATGAGCCATTTGCTTTAATTACTGGTATCAAAAGCCCAGGCTGCAGCTTAGCCTGAAAATAAATATTGTTAATGTTGTGACACTGGGCTCTATTTGATGATGCATCATTCATCCGGGAGGGATGGAGCGAGCTGCGAGCTGCTGCTGGAGGGCTGACTCAGATCTGCCTCAGGGATTCCGCGGGGCGGGACCGGCCTGGGGCCGTGGGGCTGAGCCCCACTCGCGGCTCCGGGAATTGCTGCCGCAGCCCCCGGCGCCGGGCCGGGCATCCCGCAGGAGGGGAGCGCCGGCTGGGCGCTCCTCGCCCGCAGCAGCCTCGGGCAGCGCCGGGCGATGCGGTGGGAGCTGCTCGCCCGCACCTGCAGGGTGGGAACCCAGCGAACCCCAGCCCCAGCACCGCGCTCGGAGCCGCCGCCTGGCCGCAAACCCCATCCCCTGCTCCAGCTCCGCTTGCTGCCGCTTCCTCCACACGCTTCCCTCTGCGCTGCCCCGGCCCTGCTGGCTGTGCCAAAGGAATTTCATTTTTGGGTGGGGATGCCCCTTTGACAGCCCGGAGCCCGTTGCGGGGCTCCGCGTGGGGTGAAACATTCCCGGCTTTGGAAAGGGGGTGGAAATGCGGGGTCTCGGCATGGCTTCGTGCGCAAGTTTGGGGGGACCTGTCGCGGGGGATGGCAAGGAGCGGGTCCCGGGGCGGTGGCAGCAGCGGGGACCCCCGGGCCGGCTCGCTGGTGGCCCCGGCTCGGTGCCCTCCCGCCGCCCGCAGCGCGGTGACGCTGCCACTGCAGTCGCTGCCAATTAGCGCCGGTGCTAATGAACCGCTCCAGGTGGTCCCAGCCGAGCCCGCAAGGGCCGGGGAGGGAGGAG